AGCCCTGAACCCTAAACTCTACAATCTTTGAGGAGTTTGCATATTCGGATGATAGGGCTGACGGGACTTTCCAGCCATCCCCAGGAGACTTTAGCCCTCAGTCCAAACCCTAGGCCCCGAACCCCAAACCCAAAGCTCCAATTTACAGACTTCGTGCGCCCAAGCCGTTCCAGCTGGATGCTCCGAGTCGGGCCTAGTCTGCGCTTGTCGGGTCATCATCGAGGTTTTCTGTCTTTAGGATAGCGTATGCCCTACCACTTCCGCGACGACCACAGGGCACTGATACAGTCAAAACTTGTCTATAATGACAGTTCAGTGGTATGGATGTCGAGACTAAGATTCCAAATGTCCTTGAGGAAAGCTGCTGATGCCCACCGTCCTCAAACTCCGTGATCCTTGCGCGAAACCCCCGACCCTATAGACTCCATCAACTCTAAACTTTAAACGCTATACCTAAACTCCAGAATCCTCCAGAATCCCACACCCTAAACCTAATCTACTCAACCTCAAACCCTCAACACTCCTCAACCAAAGCCTCAAAGAGGTCCTAGTGAAGCGCGATGAGCTGACTCTCGAGGGTATCAAGCAGCGGGGAAGCCCAAGGGGTGTGTACAACAGAGGGCCTAGGGATTAGGGTTTAGGGTTTAGGGTTTAGGGTTGATTACGGTTTTGGGATTTGTCAAAGGATTTAGTTGCGGTATGGTGCTGAGGAACCGTTCAGGACTTGTACCCTAACTGCTCAGGCTTCATTACACGTAGGTCTGTACGGTTTTGAGGCCCCGTATATAAGTAGGGAAGATTGCATACTCAGACGTCTATATTGATAGGACGTTCTCCTAGCTTTCTTGTAGTATGGATCCCCAGAGAATCGTTCGTAGGGTTGCGTGTGCAGTCTTGGTGCCGGGCTTAGGATTGAGATGCCCTCAAACTATAGCCCTGAACCCTGAACCTCTAACCGCTTCCCAGCGAATCTCGAACCCGGAACCCCCGGCACCATACTTCCTTTACGTGTTTAGGGTGTCGGGTTCCGCCGAGGCTCTAAACTCAACATTGCGTCTTGCGCAAGAGGTTTTGGAGCTTTTGGGAGCAGATGTGTGTTGTGGAAGTGGCTTCTTCTAAAGATTAATTGCAGGACATTCTCTCTGTATTACGTGGTGTTGCCATAGCAGTTTGAAGAAGCCATAATATTGCTTTGCATTAGGGCTGCCCACTTGAAATAGCCCCAATCCCTAAACGCTCCCTTCACCCCTAAGCTTTAAACCGGAAGGCACAGAGAAGGTATTCCATGTCTAGAATGCTTCAGGGCTGAAGGATTCAAACCTTTGGGGTTTTAGAGTTGGGCTTACTGAATTTTTAAATGATCAATACAACAAGCTCCTTCTAGTCGTAGTCCTTACATGTTGCTATGATGAATGCACCGATGGCTGGGCTACCTGGTTGACGGGTTTCGTTTTCTTTGGCCCACACGGCCGTAGGAGTGGAACGATTAGTATCCTGTTATGCATGTTACATAATCACATCGTCGTATCGTCGCTGTATAGTTGTACTATATTGTTCATGTTATACACGGAAAGCCCGAATCCCTCAACCCTAGTCTACTTGTTCACGGAATCGGAATCGAAGGCTGAAGCCCGTATCTGGAAACAAACTGTAATACTAGAAATGCGGACCACTGAATAACAAGTCCCCCTTCCTTGAGGGCATAGAGGGATCGGTCTTACAATCCCCTTTCAGGTACCGGGGTTCAGGAATTAATCAGGGAGCTCAAAGCCCCAAGCTTTAAGTCGACCGGCGGCAAGTCTTGAACACTTACTCTTAGCCACTCCCCGCAAGCAACCCTAAACTCTCCAATTCCTAAGCCCGAAAAGCCCCAAACCTTAAGCCCCTAACCCAAGATGCTCTTAGAATCGTTTTAATGCTTGTATGGAGCTCTCTTGTAACCCGGTATACAGCCTTTTGCAGACAATCCTGAGCCCCGAACCCCGAGAACAAAGCCGCTAACACCTGGAATCATTCATAGATTTTCGTGTGTGTTGCACGCGGTTGTATGCGAGCTTATTTCATGACGTCCTGGAGTCCAGACTAGACTTGCGAACACGCAGCGTCTGCTGTATGGGATTTTGTTGATTGGGCTGAATGAGGATTTTCAGGATTTCACAGGAGTAGAACCCGGGTGTTTCAAGTGCGACACCATTCAGCCGCTTTATCTTCGGGAAGTTGCGAAGTCGGGGCATTCGGAAGCGACAAGTCAGGAAAGCCTCCGGCAGGGCTTCCTTTTGACCCAGGGTCTGACAATAATGTGGGAACCTGATGAAACCTTGGTCCTATAAGCCCAAATTATTCGGATCCATATCAAGCACCCTAGTGAAGACTCAAGGTTTCTTAATCAGGTTCTTACATTAGGAGAGATTGCACATCCGCTCATCAGCAGTGCTTGGTTGTTGATCTCTTCCGCAGTGTTTGTGTTTATGTAGGCATGGCAGGCTGATGGCTGATCCTGAGACTTCACCTTCAGTCTTTGCAGTGATGCTATAGGCATCTGTTCGGGCCTTATGCCGGTTTCATCACAAGGGTGTTTTTTAGCGTAAAAAGTCGGGCTTCATAGCAAGTCCGAAAAGGCTTTGCAACAGCTAGTCTCCCTGCATAAACCCCTACCCTAAACCCTAAACCCCGAATCCCTAAAGCCCCCATAAATAAGCCAACACCGAACAATCCTGACTTCCTACGGCCTGAAACCCTCAAGCCTCCCCAGCGGATCCTAAGTACCTATATAGTAGAATGTAGGGTTTCTATACTATGAATAATTTGGGAAAGTATCCCCCATAACAGTACTTCAGACCCTTTTGGGCCTAAGACATTCCAAAGCCATAAATCCTTCCAAAGCTTCCGGAAAGCCCGAAGCCCGTAACCCTGACACTTCCAAAAGCTCGAGGCCCTCAAGCACACCCAGCAACCCTCCACACTGACACCCTAAACGGTAATGTAGGCGACTAAGTAAACACCAAAAATAGTTGGGGGGGGCTCCTTACTATAGTATATACCCCCCAAAGCCTCAGTCAAACGATTATGCAAGGGCCCAAACCGTAGGTTCTTCGTGGCCGTCGAGCGAGAGCAGTGGAAGTTCGACACCCTCTGCGACCTCTACGACACCCTGACCATCACCCAGGCTTCTAAAGGTTTTAGGGTGGGTGTAGTGTTCAGGGTTTCGGGTTTGGGGTTAGGGTTTATAGGGTTTAGGGCGAGTGTTAGGGTATGCGATTTTGGGGTTTAAAGTTTGGGGCTTTAGGGAAGAGGGCTTGCGGGTTTAGGGTTAAACGAGCCAGCAATCCTGGCATGGGAAGCACAATCATGGCACCGGCGAGAGTCAGCAGTCCCGTTGCATCGGCAGTACACTGCCCCCTGCACACCCCACACCCTCCTCCTTTGATTCGTCAGCTAAATCCTAAACCCTAGGCCGTCCCAGAAACATGAGAGTGCGAGAGTCTCCAACCTAGCGTAAGGAAAACCGAGCTTGCTGCTTGAGTCCCTGGCGCCCTGCGAATCCAGAGCTCGACTTTTGTCGAGTTTTCAGGGTCGGAATGTGTTTTTTCTGTTGAGAATACCCAACCTCCAAAAAGGTTGGTTCTTGGGCCTTCCGGGAAAAAGCCTCGTGTGAGATTCTGTCAGCGAAGCCCGAAGCAAAACCCTACACCCTAAACCTCGAACCCTCGACTTAGAAGCCTCTCGCCGTTTGTAGTCAGAGGATTCCTGCTCTACCCCTGCATGCTATGTGGTAAGCCCCCCAAATTTCTCTACAGAGCCCAGGCAGGTTCGGTTGCTGTAAGGGCTCAGAGTCCTGCTTGATTTCGCACATGGAGTTGGCATCGAGTTTTTCTTTCCACAACGCTTCTTAAGGATGTATTGAAGCTGGGAAGTGTCATGTCAGCAGGAAAAGCGCATAGTCTGCTCAGATAAACGCTCTAGCCGCCCTCAACCGTCGTATGTGGACTCACACACATACACACACCGTAGAACGGAGGTGCGCATGCAGGTTTTTGTATGCATGCAGGTTTTCAATGGATTGTGCTCAAGATGAAATATCTCATGTTCCGAAGATAGCTAATGATATAGAGCAAGACACAAAGACGTCAGGCCCCCATTGCGGTGCGACATAAGCCGATCTCAGTGTCCTGATTACCTCGGAGAAAGGCTGTCATCTTCTGCAACACCAAGCAAAAAGTGGACTGGCTCACGTCTGACCGGCTTATCATTGAAGGGGTTTTAGGGGCTGGAGGAGATCAGGACGCTGATTCTCTTCGGTCCATCCCGACCTTTCCCAGCTAGAGAAGTTTGCTTTGCGTAAACCCTTAACTCTAAACCTTAGTTAAAGCCCAAACCCAAAACTCATTCTGCAAAAGCAGCCCGGGTTTTCTTTGGAGTGGGTTTTCCTTGTCTTGCGAGAGGCGGTGTGTGCTATGAGAAGGATCCCGGTGGCGATGCTTGTATATTACCAGTCCTTTATGTAAACTTCTACATGAGGTTCTGAAATACATACATATAAGAGGCCGCTGAGAACGACAGAGTGGTCAAGAAGAGAATTGAATCCCATTGGACGTGGGTCACCGGCCCTGTGCTGAATGTGGAATGTTCGTGCTCCGGATAGAAGAACATACTGAACAACGACAGACACCCAACACATCCGGCCATATTCTGGTGATGATGAGGCGGCAACATATACCCTAAACCCTAAACATTATAAATCCCAAACCGAAACCTCCAGATGGCTGTACCCTCGAATCCCAGGCCCTGCCTCTGAACCCGAGACTGCTGCATGATGCGATCCCACAGTGAGGAGTGTGCTTGACAACTTACGGGTCAGCGAGTCCAAGACCTTTCGGAGAGAATATCTGGAGTTTCTAGTCATCTTTACGGACAATACCAAATGAACATACCAAAAATATCACGAAAGAGAGGTCATGCCAATCAGTGAGACTGCCCACTTCCGACCAGCTGGAAGCCAGGCAGAAGATGCGAGATGCAAACTTCACCGTGGCATCCATCCACGGCGCCGGACGCCCAGAAGCCGCTTTCATCACACACCTCCGTGTTCAGACTGCGCGCTGAACACACCCACTTGCGTGCCGTTCGGGCGCAATGCCTGCGAATGATATCGGTGTTGTTTGTTTCCGTGGTCACGACATCACCGTCCATGACGCGTGCCGTCATGAGCACTATCGTGATGATCATGACGGTCAACATTATCATCTTCATTGCTTCCCCAACTTCCCTCGTGTCAATGGCTGTCATGTTTGTCATAATGGCGCCTGCTGGCCATCTGCTGTCAATCGCGCATAATGCCCGACAAAGCAAGGACATGCCGCAGAAGGAGCGTGATGCCATCATGCAGCAGCGCCGTCCCCAGCACGAGAGTTTTAGAATAGAGGAACGTTATTCCACACCTTATGCCCTACGCCCTGAAAGCCTATAAGCATTCAGGTCTTTGTTGTATGTGCCGGTATGAACTGCTGCACGCACTCCGAAGCTTAGAAGCCCCTTGATGCCAAAAAGGGCAACCCTGCAGCCGAAGCCTCCAACCCGACGGACGAGTCGTTAGATCTTCATGCTCTTATGCTTTAGATGGTCGTATTAGTAAGTTTACGGGGTTATCATGAGGTTATAGGGTATGCTAAGCAAACTTGCGAAATCGAAAGATGCCAACACCCGTGTGTCATCATGTGTCAACCTATACCATGCCAGTGGAGTTCCGTGCGTGCTACCACGGATTATCCCTTCCCCCATTTATTAAACACACCACCCAAAAATGAACACACTTTTCCGGAACCCCTCCTGAAATCCTCGCCACCTTTCAAGCCTCATGTGCAGAGCAAGAGCAAAAGCAAAAGCAATGGCAGGAGCAAAACCGACCCCCCAAAAGTGACAGTAGAGATGAGCACACATCCTAACAATAAACACACTTCAGTTTCGGAGGTTAGTTTTAGGGGGAAGGGATTGCCATTTCACCAGGTGAAAAATCTCTAATTCTACTCCTGGATGCCGAATTTCCTTTTTGAACGCTTCTGGCATCACAACCGAACGTTGATTCCGAAAATGTTTCCAAGAAGCTCTTACGGGTTATGCGAAAGGGTGTACGGCCTAAATGTGTTATATCCATTCTATAAGGCTCCTGCATATAACTCATATAACTATATGGTAGAATATACTCCGAAAGCCTGTCGGAAAGTGGCTCGTATACCTAAACCCTAAACCCTAAACCCTAAACCCTAAACCCCTAAACCCTAAACCCTAAACCCTAAACCATAGTCTTTGGGGTTTAGGGCCGGGTCTGCGCTCCATGCGTTTTGTCATCCGGCGATCTTGCCTTTTGGCGAGCAGCTGCCTCACTTGGCGTGGCCGTGTTTGTTCCTGTTTAGGGGTTAGGGTTTAGGGGTTTAGGGTTTAGGGTTTAGGGTTTAGAGGCAGCACTAAGCCCTAGAAGAAGCGACAAGGACGTTTGAGTTCCAGATCAGAGGTTCTTAGGCCGTCAACCTGCAGCCTTTAGCTGGACTAGGCCATGAATCCTGAGCCCTCAAACCGAAGGAAACAACAGAAATGCTGTTCGGGCTTAGGGCCGCGCAGCGTTTCCGTATATTGCCCTTTGTTTTTGTTTTTACATTTCGCCCCTAAACCCGATTCCCACCTATGAAAAGCAAGAGTACGACTCAACTAGTATAGGGTTCGGAATATTGATTCAACAACATAAGAACACTATTCCCTTATCGGCCCTACTCCCCATTCGAATGATTCAGGCCCCTATACCAACCAACTCTGCCAAAGTAGCTCGCGGAAAAGGGGGGACTAAGGCCACCCTAACCCTGAACCCTGAAACACAAAGACGTACATTACCCCAATCCTCAACCCCTAAACCCTAAACTCAAAGCCCAAAGCCCTAAACCTTAAACCCTGAATCCTAAAACCCTAAACCCTAAACCCAGGTTCCGCTCGGGCACGAGCCGTGTTCTCATCTCGACCGACCTGTGGGGTCGAGGTCTGGATGTGCAGCAGGCTGGGCCCGGTGAGGCACTAGGTGGGAGTTTCAGAAAATAGGGGGTACCTTATTTTGGGGCCCTTATAATAAGGATCCTATTATTTAGGGTACTATATTAGGGTCCCCTATTTTCTGACACACCCAGGTGTGTTTGTAGGGTGTAGGTTTTAGGGTTAAGGGTTGAGGTTTAGGGGTTTAAGGTTTAGGGCATTCGCGTTTAGTTACAGTAAGGGGTTTGTGGAGGTTTAAGGCTGGTGCGGCATTTAGGAGTTTGGGTTTTATTGTTGTTTGGCGTTCGGTGTTGTCTTGTTTAAGACAAAATTGAAACATCTAGAGATATCTGTCTGGAGTGTAGGGTTATCTAGTACACGAAGCTTAGGATTTTAGGGAGTGTGGAGGTGAAAGTTTCATAGGGGCCTGGATCGATAGTAGCTACTTGTCGCTTAGGATTCCGCACGGTCTTACTATACAGTGAAGGGGTGAATGCTTTTTTGCACATCATGCGCAAGCATGCGTTTCATGTATCCTGTTCCGTCAGGATGGGATGTCCGCTTCGGCCTCGTCGCTCGGATGTGCTTGAACATCATAACCTTCTGTCTAAAACAGGCTGCTGCCTCGACAGGGTGCACGAATCTACAGATGTACAGAACGGTTCCACCTGGCCCCAACACAGTTTTTAGCATGCAAGCCTTTCTGAGACCCCCTATGGCTTAAACCCCGCCCCTTAACTCCCCCCTTCAAAGCTGCCCCTTGCAGGTCTCTCTGGTGATTTGCTACGACCTGCCCAACAACCGAGAGTTGGCTTCCCAGTGGAGCAGAGGGCGGTTTTGGGTCGAGGTTAGGGGTTTAGGGGACTTAGGGGTTTGGAGGATTGCTGGGGAGATAAGAGGTTCAGTTTGCAGGTGTAGGGTAGAGGGGTGGGGGGGGGCACTGAGGGAGCCTCTAAAAGCAGAGCAGAGATGATTGGAAGGGGATAAATAATCGTTCCTCCAGAGATGCTGGTTGCAGGCGGGTGGCGTTGGGGATTGGATTCCGGGCCTGAAGCTGCAAGCAGAAAACATTTCAGCATCTAAACCATAGAGAACCTCACCTCCTTAACTCCGAGCCCGAAACCGTAGGCCCTAGGCCCCCAAATCCTAAACCCCAATCACCGAGGGCTCTTGGAGTTGACCCTGGGCCGACTCTTAGCCGAAAGCAGCTAATGGTCAGGACCGGCTCCACAAACTTTGTCTTGATGGCTGTAAAGCTTCAACTTTCCGGGGTGAATGTTTGTAGGTTGGGAGCTAGCTAGGTCGAAAGGCTACGTACGTGATGAGCGAGAACCGCAACTCCAACATGGCCCGCTGGACGTCGAGCGGTCGGCCGAGCTTGCTCGTTTCTGGTGACAGATGGAGTTACGAGGACAAGGTGGAGATGGTGTTGGCCCGAGCTCCTTCACCTGAGGACGTCAACTGGACCAGGACCTGGAAACAGCTCGAATATACGTGTGGGCGAGTACCCAGGGATACCCCCAGAGGCCCACAGAAGTCTTGGTGGGCACTGGGAGTGTCTCGAGCCATCCTCCACTGCCGAGCTCTACTCCGGAGGATCCTTCGCCACCTCCGCATCTACCCAAAGCACGGGACCTAGACAAGGAATGTCGGGCATTGCTGAAAGATGTGAAGAGGGCAAAGTCGACGGGGGCTGTCTGTCTGTCTGTCTGTCTG